CCCAGCTGGCGGGGGGGCTGCCGTGCTGCTGGGGAGGGGGAGCACTGGGGAGGGGGAGCACTGGGGAGCTGTGGGACGTGATGATCCGTGATGATCCGTGATGATCCCGGTCTGCCAGCACCGGCCTGCAGGGACACCCGGCTGGGGTCAGCCCAGATCTGCCAGCCCGAGGGGGCTCAGGGGAGGGGCTGGGTGCATTAGTGTCTGTCTGCTATGTCAACTGTCCCGTTGTTAAAATTTCTCAGCAGTTTAGAACTTTTTTTTTACAAAAGTCGGCTTTATTCTTTATATCTCATAGGGCTGCAAAACCATATGTGTACTGATACAGGAGTGTGTCTATTTCCAGGCTCTGAGGGCAGAAAAAGGAGCTTCAGCCTCTCCTGCCCCACATCCACACATCCCATTGCTGCTTCCCACCCGAGACCCTTCTCTCAGGACTGAGACTCTCTCTACACTTGCAAGTGTGAAATCCAGCACGGCTCTGAGGCTCTACAGGGTGGGGATTGGATTCTTTTATCTGCCCTTGTCTCCAAATCTGACCATGAGTGACATCAATCCCAGCAGAGCTGGTGCCTGATGGCTGCAGGCAGCTGATAATGGGGCCTTGCTGAGGGCTGAGCTCACTTGCTGCCTGGCTCATTAAAATATGATCACTTCAATTTCCCGAGACCCTGAGAAAGGCACAGCCTCTCCAGCTGATGTGCCAGAGCAAGGGGCAGCCAAGATGGAGGCACCAATGTCTGGCAGCTGTGTTGGACCCTACAAGGGAGGGACTCTGGAGTTACCAGTAATAGGTACTTATTTGAGTAATTAATGACATTTGATTCACATGAAGCTGTTGGGTGGTGAGTGCAACACCTGGGTTTGCTGAGTTGTGAAATTAGGGTTTCAAGGATGAGAAAAGTTAGGATTTGGGTCCAGAATGTTATTAATGAGAAACAGCTTTTAGTGTGATTTGAAGCTCCTTGAAATAATATCTAGGTATGCTCCTGGTTTGCTTCCTGAATGCTCTGGGACATCCATAGCCCAGCACGTTGCAGCTCCCAGGGCTTTTAAAGGGAAACCCTGGCCTGGGCAGGTTTTAGCTTCGAATCAATGGGAGAATAATTTTCACACAATGTTCCTGGGTCTGGCACAGGCAAGTTCTGCAGGGTTGTTTGTTTTCAGGAGTGGGCAAGGAGCAGTGAGTTTGAGGGGGGACTCCAGCCCCCCAGCCTGTCCTGGGGACAGTGTGAGTGAGTCTGGGGGCTTGGGGGGGCCTGGCTGCAGGAGCCCTTTTCCAGGTCCATTCTGGTCAGGGTTTGTGGTACTAAGTTCAGACTCCCTAAGGGTTTGACAACCTGGGAAAGGCACCTTTCCTTGGAGACTCCACCGGGATCCCGCTGGCTGGCCGGGGCTTCTCTCCCGCAGCGGGGGCTGCGGGGCTGGTCCTGTGCCCCCCCCCCAGCTCTGCTTGGCCCTTCTCGCCCCCCGGGGGACGCTCCATTGCGTAAGGCTTTACGTAACGGCTCGGTGCGGTGACCCCCCCG